TATATATATATTCATTTGATAAGTAGAACACAAGGTATACCGTTCCAACCCAACCCGCTACCCTTTAGCCTTCTGTGCTATGTGCATATTTATGTGCCGAGTGTAGTACACCATCCGTTCGGCCGGCCGTCGTCACATCACGCGACGTCAGCTAGAACCCACTGCAACCTAGGCTGCACACGCGGGACAGTATGTAGTGAGAGCGGTGTAGTACACCGTCCGTCCGTCCGTTCGTCCGTCCGTCGTCGCATCACGCGACGTGGGCTAGAACCCGCTGCCGCTTAGGCTGCGCATGCGGGACAGTATGTGAGAGCGCAGCGTCTACACACATACGTCTTACACCGGCAGCACACCGTGGACGTTTTACAATCCGTCTTGGGTGGACACGACCGACACCTCTTCCTCTTAGCAGGCCCAGGGGGCTCGGGCTCGGGCTCGGGCCGCGCCGGGGCCTCCTCCTCCTCCTCCTCCTCCTTCTCCGTATCGCCGTCCGTGCCACCGGGTCGCGTCCCGCCGACAACGCGAACGGCTTTCACGAGCGCGGCCGCCGCGTCCACGCAGGGCACGCGTTTCCGACGTTGCATGAGCGGGGCGACGAGTGCCTTGCCCAGCTCCTCCAGGAACACTCTCCGTCTGTTCCGCTTGCCGGGCATCCAGTCGGGGTTGACCTCTCTCCAAATCACGAACACGTTGTAGGAGGACACGTCGAGCATGTTGTGGAACACGGCCATGGGCCAGCGAGCGGTCATCCTCCGGCAGCTGTACGTACCGATCACCTTATCCAGGTTGTCCACGCCGCCTTTGTTGGCGTTGTAACACAGGATCACGGAGGGCTTGCCGTCCGGTCGATCGCTGACCTCGGGCATGGCGTGCAGCGTGCTCAGCAGCACCACGTTCTTGCTCCTCTTGGGTAGGTACGATACAGCCAAGGTGGTGCGCGTGAATGCGAACCTGCAGGATAGGACAGCCCTCTCCCTGGTCGCCAGCAGCGCGGGCGGGAGCTCGGGCTTGTTCTTTCGAACGGTCCCCACCATGGTGATCCCTCGCCTCAGGAGCCTCTGTCCTAGGTCGTACGAGGTGAAGAAGTTGTCGCACGTGACGTTGCGCCCGCTCAGTCCTCGCGTGAGGTCGAGCACCACCCGCGTCCCCTGATTCTTCTCTGGGCGACCCCCCTGCAGCTTGCCTGTGTACACCTGCATCTTCCACGCGTAGCTGGACCGAGCGTCGCACGCCACCCAGGACTTGATCCCGTATTTCACAGGCTTGCTGGGCATGTATTGTCGAAACGGACACCGACCTTGGGGCACAGACACATGGTATAATAATAATAATAATGATAATAATAATAATAATAATAATAGCAATGACAGAGGAGGAGGGGGCAGAGGAGGAGGAGGAAGAGGAGGTTGTGTGTCTCCTGGCCACATTTTGGTTTGTTTTTTGTTTTTTTTTTTTATATATATATATATATATATATATATATTTTTTTTTTTTTTACCTCTGAACGGAACCAGTTGCTCGTCCACCGTCACCTCGGGCCCTGGGTTGTACATGAGCGGCAACCGCGCGGCCCACGCCTCCCACGCCTCCCATGCCTCCCACGCCTCTCACGCCTCTCATATCGCAGCCAGCTTGTCCGCGGTACGCCGCGGTGGTCTGGACCCGCGGTCGTCGAAGCGTATCAGTCTGGAGTACGTGTAAAACGTTTTGAGGGACATGGTGGCTCTGAAGATAGCTCGACCGCTATCCGCGTCCCACAGGCTGGCGGCGGCCTCGCCTCTGGACCTGTACACGTCCGCCAGAATCAGCAGACCCATGTATGCGCGCAGGTCCACCGAGTCCATCTCCCGCCACTCGTCTCCGCGGCGGCGGACACCCTCCCGATTGGTGTGATCCAGTATGAGCGCCTCTAACTCTGCCGTGACAAACAGTCGGAACGTAGACGCCACGTCTCGGGCCCCGCGCCTGGCCCGGTCCGTGGGCCCCTGGTCACCCGACGCCGACCGGTGGTCCCGGCTCCGAGATGTTTACGTCCCGCACTGCGGAGCCGGAGACCATGATATAGTCCCGTTTTTCGAAAGAAATGAGTTTGTTTCGTCCTCTCCTCGTCCTCGTCCTCGTCCTATTCCTATCCCTCCTCCTCTCATTCATACACCTCAGCCTCCTCTCGCTCTTCTTACACCTTGTCCGCATCCACCACGGCCTCCTCGCACTCTTACTCCTTGTCCGCGTACTCCTCCGCCACCCCATTCTTCTTCTCCTTCTTCTTCTTCTTCTTCTTCTTCTTCTTCTTCTTCTCCTTCTTCTTCTACTTCTTCTTCTTCGTTTCCGTCTCCTTCTTCGTCTCCTTCTTCTCCGTCATCGTCTCCGTTTTTCGTCTCCGTCGTCGTCTCCTTCGCGGTCGTCGTATTCGTTGTCGTCTGCACCTTCCGCTGCGTCAGAACGCGAGGCGTCATGGGTTGGGGCGCGTTGCTCATCCTCGTCATCCCCGTCACCCTCGTCCTCCTCTGACACCTCTTCGGCTTCGGAGGGAGGGTCCGAGTGTTCGTGGTGCGGATCGTCGGCAAGCTGCTCCAGAACCTCTTGGACTGTGAAACGGGCGGTCGTCCTTGCTGCCATTCTCGCCGCCATCCTTGTGCCGTCACACGACTCTACACGGAGACGTGCAACACGCGCACACACACACACACACACAGACGCGCGCGCGTGCAGTTGGATGCCGTTAGTAAGAGACACATGCGGCGTTTTAGTAAGAAGAAGAAGAAGAAAGAAGAAGAAGAAGAAGACGCTACTACTACTACTACTACTACTACTACTACTGGTACTACTACTACTGGTACTACTACTACTACTACTGGTACTGCTACTGCCACTCGCGAGCCCCGGGTCGTTCTGACCCCTTAGGACAGCGGGCTGCTCGACAGTGCACGAGCCCCGGGTCGTTCTGACCCCTTGGGACAGCGGGCTGCTGCTGCTGCTGCTGCTGCTGCACGTACAAAGGAAGACTACCGCTCGACAGCGCGCGAGCCCCGGGTCGTTCTGACCCCTTAGGACAGCGGGCTGCTCGACAGCGCGCGAGCCCCGGGTCGTTCTGACCCCTTAGGACAGCGGGCTGCTGCTGCTGCTGCTGCTGCTGCACGTACAAAGGAAGACTACAGCTCGACAGCGCGCGAGCCCCGGGTCGTTCTGACCCCTTAGGACAGCGGGCGCACTACCGCTCGACAACACCCGACACCACCCCCACCCCCCGCCCCCCGCTTTGGACCCCTTGGGGCATAGTGGGTTAGAATCCTGTCCTTCACCAGGATACAGTTGTACCAAGATGTCATTGTCATAGTACACCCNCTCATCCTCGTCATCCCCGTCACCCTCGTCCTCCTCTGACACCTCTTCGGCTTCGGAGGGAGGGTCCGAGTGTTCGTGGTGCGGATCGTCGGCAAGCTGCTCCAAAACCTCTTGGACTGTGAAACGGGCGGTCGTCCTTGCTGCCATTCTCGCCGCCATCCTTGTGCCGTCACACGACTCTACACGGAGACGTGCAACACGCGCACACACACACACACACACACACACACATACACACACAGACGCGCGCGCGTGCAGTTGGATGCCGTTAGTAAGAGACACATGCGGCGTTTTAGTAAGAAGAAGAAGAAGAAAGAAGAAGAAGAAGAAGACGCTACTACTACTACTACTACTACTACTACTACTGGTACTACTACTACTGGTACTACTACTACTACTACTGGTACTGCTACTGCCACTCGCGAGCCCCGGGTCGTTCTGACCCCTTAGGACAGCGGGCTGCTCGACAGTGCACGAGCCCCGGGTCGTTCTGACCCCTTGGGACAGCGGGCTGCTGCTGCTGCTGCTGCTGCTGCACGTACAAAGGAAGACTACCGCTCGACAGCGCGCGAGCCCCGGGTCGTTCTGACCCCTTAGGACAGCGGGCTGCTCGACAGCGCGCGAGCCCCGGGTCGTTCTGACCCCTTAGGACAGCGGGCTGCTGCTGCTGCTGCTGCTGCTGCACGTACAAAGGAAGACTACAGCTCGACAGCGCGCGAGCCCCGGGTCGTTCTGACCCCTTAGGACAGCGGGCGCACTACCGCTCGACAACACCCGACACCACCCCCACCCCCCGCCCCCCGCTTTGGACCCCTTGGGGCATAGTGGGTTAGAATCCTGTCCTTCACCAGGATACAGTTGTACCAAGATGTCATTGTCATAGTACACCCCGCTGTCCTCGATGGTCTGCCAAGTGTACTCCTGTGCTTTCAATCAGCATGACCCGATGTAGGACTTGTACACCGCGGGTCCACGCTGGATTACAACGGGGTCCATTACACCTGCGCCGGCTGGTAAATACAATGATACAGGGGTTCCGCGACACTAGACCTGGGTTCTACTGTGTATATATTTTCTCATGCGGTCCCGGTGGTCCTCCTCCAGACACCTACTTATCTCGGGCTCCGTCCTGTTGATCCTCCGTGCAGACCTTTCGGCGTCCACTGCGACAAGCATCCAATAGCACTTTCGTGCGTCTACGGCGTCCTGGGACATAGATACGAAGTCAACCTGGTCTGCGGCGTCACTGAAGTGTACACGCTTGACCTGTTCTCTGGTGCCAGCGGTCTCGGTTGCACATATCACCTGGGTGTGGTAGGACAGTGGGCTGTCTATCACCTGGGTGTGGTAGAACAGTGGGCTGTCGTCGGACACTGGTGTTACGTGACAGCGTGTGGTTCCAGGCTTGTTTGTTGAACACAGGTCGCTCCTCGTCGTAGTCATGCAGGTCCCGGTGGACCTCCTCCAGACACCTACTTATCTCGGGCTCCATCCTGTTGGTCCTCCGTGCAGACCTTTCGGCGTCCACTGCGACAAGCATCCAATAGCACTTTCGTGCATCTACGGCGTCCTGGGACATAGATACGAAGTCGACCTGGTCTGCGGCGTCACTGACGTGTACACGCTTGACCTGTCCTCTGGTGCCAGCGGTCTCGGTTGCACATATCACCCAGGTGTTGTAGGACAGTGGGCTGTCTATCACCTGGGTGTAGTAGAACAGTGGGCTGTCGTCGGACACTGGTGTTACGTGACAGCGTGTGGTTCCAGGCTTGTTTGTTGAACACAGGTCGCTCCTCGTCATCGACATCATGGGTCTGTTCATGGTACTGTACTGAATGTAGCCTAAAGCCCTCAACACACTATATATATA